GGAATAAAAATAAATAAATAAAGTAAATAAAACCGCCTTTATTTTAAGCTCGGCGATGGTCAGCTGAGCTGTTAACTTAACCTTAACGTAACTTAAACTAACCAAAAACGTCATCATGGGCGGCCACAGCCTGCTGCCCAGATCTAATGTGATTACTTTAATTCGTTTTATTTTCAATATTTCGTGAAAATTAATTTGGAATAGTTTGGTACTTTTAGATGGCAAATTAATTGCCAATAAGTGCCAATATAAAATATGAGGTTTTCCATTTAAAACTTCCACTTAACACGGATTTTTCATATCTTGCCAATTGGGCCTTATCTTATAAACGCCCTGTACGTGATAAGTTAATTTGCATACTATATCATGTTAAGACAATTTAGTAGGGACTGCAACCAAAAATTGAGGAGTTTAGCTGTACGGGTTGCGAAAAAAAAATTATTTTATATCGGGTTATGTGCTGTCAAATTTCTTGGGCATGGCACATGTTACATAAAAAAGTTCCAGAATTTTTCGTAGAACCTAAACATGCAATATATTAAAATTGAACCTATCTTGTAAAATTTGCCACTTTCAGTTCCGTTAAGATAAATTTTAGAAATCAATTTGATTCTATACATTGATGGAGTGATGGGACGGATTAACAAACATCAAAGTTCTGTACTTAAATATTTTAAATCTTAGGTTGGACTACTAAAACTGATGTCTTTAATTGATATTGAGGCTTGTACATAACTCCAAAACGTCTTACATCTCCGCCATTTTTTTTCATCTAAAACATGAAAGTTATATTAATTTAAAATAATCGGCAATGTTGAAAACGGACGAAAATTGAAAAACCCCGTGTACCTCGGTCGGCGGTCTAAATGTCGACATTAAAGCACTTCAATTACGAGCACCCTGTACATACGTGGAAAGCCATTTCTGGGGAAAAAGTGTTCCCACAGTGCGAACGTTTGCGTTTCTAAAAAGGATCGCCTTATAGATTAAAAAGTGTATACCGACCGTCTCGTTATCCACTTTGCGCAGTATTTACGATTTGCAAAAAAAAAATTCGATCTTTCCCAAGACGTTTATTAAACTGTTCTAGCGCGACCGGTTTCGTACCGCTAATAAGTGGATCATCAGAGAGACGCGTTAGGTATAGTCACGTCACGTATCTGACAATTAAACGGGGCTCGAAAAAAATCGCGAAAAAATGGGGAATTTTGATTAAGATTAATAGGCGCTCGGATGTTTCCGAAGCGAAATCAAAGCCGGTCGCTTGTCGTAATAAGAACTTGTTCCGCGACGAGCTGTATATTCCATTTTCCAGTCGTGCAGAGAAACAAAAACATCGTTACCCATGCAAAAGAACAACATGGTGATCCTTTAAAAATTTAGTGCAATGTGTCACTTTTTACCAAATCAATATTTTTTATTTTGATATATTTTTCTCGGAATATATTTGATCCATCTATGTCTTAGCGTTTAAAATTAAAATTATAGATACTTACAGCTTCTAAAGTTGTTGCTGCGAAACGAATTAGTAAAACTTTGCTCTTCAGAAATGAGAAAATTATTAATCTCAATGTGTTCAAGGCTCTTCGGCACCAAAATAGTTGGGATATATTCGAATATGAGTGGAGTTGCAGTCAACAATATATCGACTTGTAAACGCAGCTTTAAAATCACCAAGAAGAAAAACTGTAATAAATGAAAAGAATAATACACTCCTTTTACTATATACCTAGGACAAGATAATCCCTGAAATGAAAATGGATGAATTTATTCCTTCGAAGGCAATGATTTTTTTACCAATAAACTCAAAACAGAGAATCACATTTAACAGGGAAATCCGAAATTATCTGCTGGTGATGACGATGTTTGAGAACAGTTTTGAAAAGACAACAGGAATGTCTACTATCTGTTTTTTTTTTGGTAAAACATGACAGGGCAGATATTTAAAAAGGGCAAGGAAATCTTCCATTCCTAGTGGACCATAGACTAAAAAAACCCTCAACTGACTGGAATCTCCCCTGAAGACTTATTTTTCAGGGCTTTTTCCCATCAAATGCTGGATCTTATGTTTCCCCTGAAGAAAATCCAAACAAATACCCACGTCCTGTTGGAAAAGAAATGACATCATTCATTGGATTGCTTTGGATAAGAAATAATTTCAGAAAGGTATGCTCAGAAATCAGCATTGCAATTGCAATCTGAACTTTACGATGTAACCTTGTTAGTTGACCAACCTGGTTAATGATCCCTGCAATTGTAAATTTACATTTTGTTACTCTTTCGCATTAAGAAACGTAGTATAATAGTTTTTCCGTCGATTATCTATTGTCTTCTGCAAGACGAATTTGCTGTGTATTTTTATGCATCTTGAGATATTAATCATTTCTTCAAAATAATCTTGGTACATTAAAAATATTCGTCGGCCAGCTGAAAAAGCAGGACGAGTGGGTAGTTATAACCCTTATTAATGCACGTCTCACCCAGATAAGAAATACGCTTTGGTCTATACGTTCGACTTTCTTTATGCTTTTCAAGTGTTTTTTTGCCAACAAACCAATTCATCGCTCTCAAGTGAAAAGAACTATCAAGTTCTATCAAAAATAGAATTTTTTTTGTTTTACTAATATTGTAATAATTCTTGACACTAGAGATATTAAAATATTTAATATAACAAATATTTCACTTCAACGTTCTCAAAAAAATTGCAAAAGCCTTAGGGACCGGGCAAGCTGTCCAGTTTTTTGAAACTGTCATGTGCAGAATGACTGTCGTGGCTCCACTGGTAAATCTGGGACATTGTTATTATCTTTTTGACGGATTTATTAACGTCAAAATAGGTTTCGAGGTTACGGCACGTCAAACCCAGGATTTTAGATCGTAGCCGTGCGCTCGCGACAGTTGCCTACGTTGGGCAAAACAAAAATGTTTGTTTGTTTGATGCCGTTTGGCGTGACCCCATTCCCAAGACGTTTACCGCTGAAGCAATAACATCGATCGGTGGTTGCAAACAAAAAACGTTTATATTGTTTTACATTCTTCGCCGAAAGAATTTTAGATTCCGTTAAAATGAGTGCCAGCGTTGAACGCGCCTTCGTTTAGACTGAAGAAACAAATTTAGTTTAAATTTGGCGTCAATTTGAAAACAATAAAAATCAGGAACAAATTAAATAAATTAATAAAATAATGTTTTTGAGGCAAAGCTTATTGTCTTTGTCTTTGAGTTTTGTAATTAGTCTTCTGGTGTGTTACGTATTTAATTCAAGTCAAGAACATCAAATATTGATAAGGCAAGCCGCAAATTTTTTGAAAAATTAAATCTCCAACAATTTTGATATGAACGTAGTTTTACAAAATGTACGCTTTCCGTTGTGCGTTTGCGCTTGTGTGTGCCGCGATAAGCGTTTAAATATTTCCGGCTTCTTGTACACTTAATTAACCTATAAATTTATCGTGAGAACTGCTGCATTCGATATCGATCTCGTATCGCCGATGGGTTCTCCAGTCGCTGCGCCTGCCGCAAGTATAGGTTTTCGGGAGGTACGTTGGGTGGGGCTTTCCTCAAATCAATGAGTAATTGTTGTTTTCTTTCAAACATATTTAATAATTTTAACACTGCTAGAGTGAATTCAAAAAAAGAAAAAAATAAGAAGAAATAAATTAACAGTATACATATATACAATTCGATAGTTACCAGTTTTATGATCGGTCTCTATTATGCTAAATGTATTGTTTAAATTTTTGTTTGAATGAAGTTAGTGCGGTAGAGAAGGAGTTTGTTGTAAGCGTTGATAGCATTACACGTGAAACTGCTCTGGAACTGTGGCGAAGTATGTTTGGGAACGGTAAACAGCCCACTATGGCGGGTATTAACAGAATGAATATCTGATGCACGAGTGAGTTTGTCAAAAAGATATGTCGGACGTTGAAGAGATGTTACTTTTTTAATTAAGACTAAAAGCTGCGATTTAAATCGTTCGTCTAATGATAGTCAGCTAGAATCCTCTAGGCTAGTAGATATGTGATCAAATTTACGAATGTTGTATGAGACTCTGAGACAGGCATTCTGAAGACGCTGAAGATTAACTTTATTCTTTTGAATTAGGGCAAGCCAGTAAACTACCATACAGTATGAAATTTAAAAGAGAGTTAAGGAATCGATAAGTTTTAACTTAATTGCTGTGTGGAGAATATCTTTATGACAGTCGAAAATCCGAAGCTTGTAAAACTATTTCTGGATCAATAAAGCTACGTGACCTTCAAAACGCAGATTATTATCCAAATGCAGAGCCAGATTTTTGCATTCGGCAACCGACCATAAGAGGTCGTTTAAATAAATTTTGGCTTCATTATTTTTTCTTTATCTTTGATAAAAATTATAAGTTGCGTCTTATTTTCGTTAAATAACAGACCATGCTTATTAGAAATATCAGTGAGAGCACGTAGGTCATTGTTTATATTACTTACTGCGGCATTAATTTGAGAGTAATTAAAAGAGAGATTTTCTTGAGTGTCGTTTTTTTTCTCATCTTACTTTTCTTGCATTTTATTATTACTATAAACACTTTTGGTTTTTTTTTATTTGGTAAAAATCAAGCAGTATTATTATAGTATATTATGAAACAAGTGTGATAAAGGGCATTTGAGTTATTTAGCACTAGCGAGCCAAGTGCTTAATAAATGACTGACTTAAGTGGCCCGCATCCGTAGGAAACAAAACTGACATGGTAAAATGTCACTTTCCGTACGCTCATTCGGTTTATAATTTGGTAATTTTCAGATGGGAGTAGAAAAATATTATTTAGGAAAGGCTCATGTCCGGAGACATTAATTGGACAACAGGCGAGAAACCTTTTATCGAATAACTGCTTTTTAAGCGGAAATTATAACTGAATTTTCACTCTTTGCAAAAGTTGAAATAAATAGTCGAATTTAGACTTCGAAGAACGACTTTCAGCGTCCACGAGGACTATTCGAATTTCGTTCGTTAGCGTCGTGCTTACCTGCAGGCAAATTCCGACTCGCCCAGGCACAGTTCGAGGCATTCCTGACGCGACGAGACGATCTGGTGGCTGTTGACGTAGCCGACCAGTCGGTAGTTCTGCACCCGGTCGATACACCAAGCCCGTTCGCACGGCTTCACCCCCAGGCAGGTCTTCTGCGCGTAAATTGTAAACACCGGGAACTGGGATTTCGTCAGCGCTCCTGCAAAAATAAGTACGCTTAGAAAAAAAATCGCAACTCCCATCGGTCTTGGTCGCCGCACGGGAGGAGAGTGGTATGAGCGGCGTATTCGCTTGATAGATAGATCCTATACATCATTTGGGCTGATTGTTTCCGCGTGAGATGATTGGAGTTTCGATCGCCAGGGGGCGTCGGAGGTATTTTCTATTAAGCGCGGGTATACGCGCGGATCATAACATCTCTATGTGCGATCTTTAACGCGGGACGGAAGATGATAAAACTGTTTAATGAAGATCGGCGAACGGTAAAAATCGAACATCGAAGATCGGATCTGGCGCCGATTAAGTCCGGCTTCCTCGTAGAGCTCCAGATACTTGTAACTTTATTCGCAACAAGTGGCAATTTCGTTTTTCTCTTTTCTATTCATCTCTATACCGCGACGGCGATCAACCCACCCAGCACCCATACCTAGTGGTAATTTTTCAGATGAGTCTGATCTTGGCTGTCTGGTCTATCTATCTTGATTCGATGTTTCAGCATAGTCGTCTCCAGTTTGAATCCATTGATACCTCTTCAATTGCACTTTCGACGTAAAATTTGCGAGTGTACACGGATCACTTGCGTCGGTTACATTCGCCGCGCAAGACGGAAAGTCGTTCAATTGGGCAACGCGTTCGACGGGAACAGATAGAGCGATTAAGGCGAGGGGAATGGGGCGGTTCCAACGCCGTCGGCGCCATTGATAACCATAAAGGACGAAAACGGTTCGAAATTATAACCTCGTAGGACTCCCTGAAACGGCCTACGCAACCCAATGACATGTAATTACGTGGCTGCGGCATTGGTCATAAATATGGATGGAAATAACCCACCTTTGACGGGTTGAAGCGAATTCGCCCCGAGTTCACCCTCTGGGGGATTCGAACGGTCAAAACGTCATTCGGATAATCGATCCACTTTATATCGTTCAAGTTTAGGCTGTCTAGTCTAGTTTTTTCTCGTTCTTACTTTACTTCTAGATTCGCCCCAAATCCGTTAGAAGCGTAAATAGAAATCAATTCAAATTAGACATTGTTCTTCAAAGTTTCAAGTTCAAGTTCAAAGATGTACTTCTTGTCGTGCAGTGCTCTTTCTATGTTTTGTTCTCTGTTTTGCTTAACTTAATTACTAGGTGGTACCGTTAAATTTAATTTCTTTCAAACCGTTAAGTCAAGATTACTATGCATAGTATCTTCAATATAATTTTATCCAAGTCGAATTGGGCAATGTGGTTGGTTCAAGAGGGTTAACTATAGAACGCTCATTCGCTCATGACGAAATCAATTAGAATAGGGTAATTCCTTCAGTATCCCGTTTTGTTTACTCGGAAAATGGGGGAATGTCAGCGACCGCGTCGCAGGAGCAAGGTTGCGTACCGGTTTTCCTGAGGCCCGCTGGTCGATCTGTCCCTCGTATTCTTCACCCGTTTGAAAACGCCCTGCCATTTAATCGAACCGATACAAAACAAATTCCTCAGATCGTTATCGGCATTTATGTTTAGCCTATAGAAAACGGAAAATGAGACCAAAGCGACGCGATCGGACTCTGCGATCAATTGCTGGTGGGGTTGAAACGGTGACGTCAGATCCATAAACTCAACGAAAATGACGTTCTAAACTCGCATCAGAAACATTTGAGGGCTAATTGTATTATTGGTCAATCGTCAAACGCTAGCATACGGGCATTTACGTCAACTAGAAATGTATACAGGATGTTAATAAAGTGGGTAGAATAACTTATATGTATGGTATTTTAGGAGAGCATGGAAGCTTGTTCTGTGGTTTATCATTCATTCAAATAACGATTTTAATCTTTTTATATCATATTTCATTCTTTTTATCTATTTTCATTTTTACGGAAAAAAACGATGATTTTTTCGCTGGACTATAAGTCAATTGTTTAAGATTGCGATTCTGATGAAATTTTCGTTGGTTTAACGTTTATATACCATTATAGGTCAAAATGATGTTTTAAGTCTTAAGTTTGTGCTCCAAAGAACTCTATTCAAACAAGGTTTGCAATAAAGATGGCTGCGTTCCGAGTAGTTTGTCTTTCAAATGATCTTTATAATGCTAACCCGAGTTGTGCTAAAGTTGTGGGCTTGTTGGGTCGGCAGCGAACGCGTCTTCTTAATTCATCCCAAAAATGCTCAATTGGAGTGAGATCTGGGCTACAGGGTGGCCATTCTAACCTTCGAATTTCATATTTGTCCAAAAACAACATGCGGTCTGGCATTATCTTGTATCAATAAAAAGCACAAATGGAACAGCTTCTTGCAGTACCTCTTCAAAATATCTGTTATTAAATTTGTACGACCATCTTCTAATAAAGCGACGATTTTACCCATGTGCAAGTCAGCCCAAATTTCATTGGAAGGAATTGCATCGCAATCTTAAAGAATTGACCCATCGTCCAGTGAATGAATTTTTTTACATCTAGTAGCATTTATAGCAGCGAAAACGGGAAGTATTTGACAATGTGGGGTTTGGGACTACTTTTATTCCCGCCACTTTTACGCGGGCGGAACAAGCTTTTGTTTATGTTGTGTGTCGATTTTTAGTTCCTTTCAGGTATAGTGCGGTCGTCTTGTCTTTAAATAAATTTTATCGACCGTGCTCCCCGTGTTGAGTTGAGATAATTTCACGTGGTCGCGTATCGCTATCGTATACACATCCAATTGAAATACGTGTCCATAAAAGTTAATCGGCGCTGAGTAAATGAACGTATAGCGTCCATTTAAATTGAATTTAAGCGCTCGACTACGCGTTTTATACGCTCATTATCGTGCTAACACCTACGTATCGCGCAAAATGATTTATCGAGCTTAGGATAATGATAATTATACCAACACGCCGTGTATAATAATTTTGACCTGCGTTTCGGCGTTTCTAGGGGACTTTGAACGCTAATTTATAGTTACCAGGTATATACCAAATGTATACCAATAAACAAGATAGTAAAAACTAACCTAAACCAAAGCAACTAAACTCAAAACCAAAAAACTAACAGTGCCTAAAATAATCGCACGATACTTAACAATTTATCATTTAATGTCAAAGTAAACTGAGCCCTAGACCATTAACATCTATATCACTACAAGTATAATTAAAAAGTACATTGCTTGAAAAAGATTTTATCCAAAAAGTTTGTTTAGAAAGTTGGGAGTGGAGTACTGCAGAGGTTCTGACTGCCCGCGAAGGAGCTTGAACATCGATTAAATTAAAATTGAACTTATGCATAAATTCCTACGTTTTAAGATGATGATGAAAGTTAATTATTTAAAAAAATCCTTGAATATTTTTGAACCAACGGATATATTTACTGACCTCATACTCCAGCTTGGATCTAACGTAACTGAAGTAGAGCGCTTAGTGCCCGTTTGAATGTAAACTAACTAGCATTCCCAAATATAAATCCCAAGATTTTCAAAGCTTTTAATGATTAATATAGTCAGCAAACCAAAGTTTAATATCAAATAAAACTCTCAAAAATGGAAAAACCTTTGCCAATATCCAATAGCAACCTGTTTTGTGCACTAGGAGTCAATAATCAGAAAATCCCGTTAAAGATGGCGACCGTCATTTCGATTACTTACGAATCTAAATTGGTTGCACATTGTCTTCATATAGTTATTTCTCTTTTGTACATTTCCCTAAGAAGGGATTAGTAACTATGATGCTCTTGAAGCAATGCTTGGTTTGGTATATCCATCTTTTGGGTGACCTTTCGCGCGGGCGTCTTGCTTGTACCTTTCCTTTCACTATTAGTAGTTGCAGTGAGTCGGTTCTTCTTGCAATATGGCCAATGAATGTTAGAAAGCTTTGGTTTATCATTTTTAACAGATTTAGTTGAGTATTTAGTTCTTCAAGAACGGACCCATTCGTACGATGGGCCGTCCAGGGTATCCGTAACAGCTATCTGTATGCCCACATTTCAAAGGCATCTATACGCACCTATCGCTCTTCTTGATCGTCCATGTTTCAGCTCCATAAGTGGCAATCGGAAACACAAGTGATATAGTTATAATTTTTCTTTCAGACGAGCCTGACTTTGTTAAAATGGGATAAGTCGTTTAGAAAATACGATGGTGTCAACTAACAGTTCGTGAACATTTTTGTGGGTCATGCGATCTTTGTTGGCCCAAATAGATCAACTGCCAATGATTAACCCGCTGACTCCCACTTGTGACCCCCCCGTAATAATACGTAATAAAATTAATTTTCTATATTGACCGAAAATTTGCCAAGAATAAGGTTCAATTATGAGATAAGCATCCGCTTGAGGATTGAATTGGAGCCGGTAGTTTGATTTCCATATTTGCGTCAACGTTTGAGGTCGAATGGCGAGGTGATGTACAAGGCGTCTCGTTTAAAAATAATTAAAATTTGACCAATAACTGTTTGTTGACTCACCTTACTCCTTCAAATTGTATCTGATACCAAATAAGAGTCGCTTAAAAATGGCTAAAGAATGTTGATTTCTTATTGAAGCAAAAAGCAATTCAAATACACTCACGACTCCGCCGATGTCCGCTGATTGACGTATTTATTAATAATCGTACATGATTTTATGACATAACTAAAAAGGTCAAACGGAAAACTAAATAACACTCAAAAACTATTAAAAAGATCAGGCAAACTTTTCAAGTTTGTTACCACATAGCAACAAAACTACTGTATAAACTATACTATATAATATGCTATATATATATATATATATATATATATATATATATATATATATATATATATATATATATATATATATATATATATATATATATATATATATATATATATATATATATAAATTCAAAGGATATCGGGTAGCGGTCCGTGGTTAAAATAGAAAGCTCCTTTTTTCTTTAACACTCAATATTTCGTCAATTTATTTGTTGACTTCTTCAGGAGTGAAAAAATTAGAGTCTACCACATAGTTCCTCAAAAACCATACTTTACAGTTAAGGTAAATGAACGAAGCGA